GTAGAAAGCCCTAAGCGGATTGCCGAATATCATGTGGGGCCATCCCGCCTTCCCCAACCCTTGAAACCTCCAATGTACTTCCCAGCACACCCACATTCCTGCTGGTTGCGAGCATGGAGTGGAACAATGGATGCCTATAGTAGCCCGCATTCAAACCTCCATGAACCAAAACCTATGACCCTGTATATCCCTAGAATGCCTTGAGGGGATTTTAGGGCCTATGGCAGTTTCCATTTTCTTTTCCATTCCTTCATTCCCTACCAACAACCAGCAAGTGTTTGGCAAAGTTACATACTGCAGACCCGTGATTAATGAATCCTTTCCTTTTAAGGGCCTTCGTATTAGAATCCCTGTTATAATCTCTATTAAGGGTAGGGGGTTTATTAATAAGGGGTCTACATTAGCACCAGCGCACGCTCATCCGACAGACTCTTTACCTAATTTAGCTGCAGCCAAACCTCCTTCAAGGGGTTATAAAGGCACTATACTGGAAGTATTACAAGGGTTATTGAGGCGGATATTGGGGGTTTAGACTACAGCTCGTTTAGCTTTAGGCTTCTAGGTAGGCATCTTATGAAAGACTCGTGTTGTCTACAGTGCCATAATCGTAGTTATCAGAAGGCTGTCCATGCCTTGCCCTACCTTGTTAGGATTAATGTAGACCCATAATCTTTATCACCCTCCTTTTTTAAGGATCCCTATTGTTCATCCCTATTTAGGGGGGGGGGTGTTTATTAATTGGGGATCTGGGCCTTGCATGGCATCTGAGGATCCGAGGGAGGAAATTGAGTTCGGCCCACGGTTCAGGAGGATTTAGAATAAGCTCAGACTTTGATAGTTCAGGACCTACAAGCGCTACTGGCGGAACATTAGTGTAAGCACGAAAGAATTAAGCGCAAGCTCAATTTCACCTTTGAGGGTTTGGGGTCCTCTAGAATTCATGGTCGCCACTTTGGGAGTCAACCACAATACAACCCTAAACCCTAAACCCAATGCTGTTCGGTGTGAGGAGGGCCCGCGGCCTGTATCTGAGAGAAGAAATGGATCACATAGCTACACCAGGCAGTATGCAAATCTAAGCCATGCGGCTCCATGATATTATCAGGGTCTTTGCGCAACGGGTTCCTGAGGAGTGACGAACTCTCAAATCCGGAAGATTCTACAACAGTCAGCCAAGGGTTTAGGGTTCTGGCGTTTAGCCTTTAGGGATTTAGGGTTTAGGGGGTTTAGGGTTCAGGGTTTAGGTTTTGGTTGCCGGCAAATATGTAGAGAGAGACAGCAATGCCACCATGTCCTTTTTGAATCATGGCCCAAAAACCTTCTAAGGTGGATTGCACAAAACGTGGAAATCTGCATAAAGTCTGCTTGCCAAACCCTAGACCCTGTACCCTAAGCCCTACACCAGCAAAGACTGCTTGCCACCAAGCAGCGGGCAACATCCGAGGAATCCTGCAATCACCAACTGCGCGCCTCCCGAAATGATAGATAGAATATTGGGATTATATTGGGATAATGGAAAAAATGGAAACTACCATTTAGGGTTATATTGGGGTTATATTGGGATTGTATTAGGATAATGGAAAAGAAACTGAAAACTACTATTTAGGGTTTGGGGTTTAGGGTATATTAATGGTCTTTCCTTTCACACTAACTTACTGGTTGTTAATAGGGCATATAATCCCAATAAATCTTAAATTGTATTCTTCCCATATTCCCTACTAACAACCAGGAAGCTCAAGAAAGCGTGTGTTTTTTTCTGCCCATACTTCTGCATGAAAGATTTATTGGGTGTTCCCAGGAGTCGCCGCTGTCAAGGGCAGTTCTTGCATGAACTTAACCACTGCGCTCCGGTTGGTCTGGGTGAAAGCTCCGGATAGAAACGAATGCCCCCATGATGCTATATAGCCTCTGTTTGTTTCTCTTGACAGCGACGTTAAAATATGGCTCGTATCAAAGCATGGGGGTTGGGACAACTTGTAGAATGGCATGCTAACATGCCGAAATGTCAGGCGCATGCACAAAGTCAGCCAGATGACCTTACACGAGCACAGAGGCCAAGGGAAGACAAGCTTTGTCAAGTCAAGCGAGTAGCGCTTTTTGGTGGTTACACCCAGTAAGATTAGATTCCTTATATGAAATACTATACCCCAAAAGGAGCACATAATCACTACATCGGGAACCATAGTATGCCCAAATAAAATACTACTAAACCCTAAACCCTAATCTCTAAACCCTAAACCCAAACTAACCCCCTAAACTTACTAAATTGGGTACCATAGTATCCCCGAAAAAAGATACTACTCAAGAGGTGTTCTGTGAATCTATCCCTTGGCGATGCTGAAGCGACTAGCCCCAGAGGCTCCCTTACATGGAACTAAGAAGGGGTGCAGGTTTAGGGTTTAGGATTTAGGGTTTAAGGTTTAGGGTTTAGGGTAATATTCATATTTGGTAGTTTCCCAAAACAAGGGAAGAGGTATTCCGAATTTTAGGAAACCCTAAAACCCCTATAAATCCCTATATAACCCTGTACAACCCCTGTATGACCTACAAACCCCTTGAAACGTACCCCAGTTGGGGAAATCCCCACAGTTCTGAGTGAAGGCCACTTCATGCGACTTCCAGTCCTAGCAGCGCCACGCGGACCCTGGTACATATTTTGCAGCTGTCTGTGCACATCAGGCTGGCACACCCCACACACCCTAAACCCTTACAGTCGCGCTTTAGTAGATAGAATATGGGATATATGGAAATCTTATAATAATATTCCCTATGGCCCTAGTCTCTGCAATTTGCACTCTAAGTCCGGCTCCTGTGGCCTGGAATTTCCTGCATACCAAGCAAAGCAGATCTTGAGACATACTGAGAGTATTATTCTGCGTTGCTGCTAAGAAAGGAAAACTGAGCTACCACATTATTGATACATATATGGTAAATAATAGGGTTCTTAGTATAGCAAATTGACTTAAGTTTCTTAACAACAAACCAATCTTAGCTAATCATACAGCTAGTAATCAAATTGCAGCTCAACGCTAGACGCATCTAAGTGCAAGTTTGAACCTGCCGTTTGCTGCCCTTCAGAGACTCCCTATTGACCCTCGTGATGCCTTTACCCCTACAAAACACTTCGACAGCCACCACACTTGCAGTCCTGCAACAGTATGGGTAGTTCTGAAAATTAGGATCCTATCTTGGTACCCCTGAATATTATGTGCCGTACGATAGTTCAAAACCACAAGGCTCTCATAATTTTGAGAGTAACCCATTCCGTATCGGTCCTCTTTCTTAGTCTTCACCGTTCTTGCGGCCGAAACAATTCTTTTCCATTCTCCCTCTCTAACCCCTATATAACCCCTTAAACGGAACCCTACATAATCCCTATATCCCGTTAGAGTGATCCCTATATAACCCCTATATAACCCTGATTTTTTTGCAACTGCATCTGCTCCATCAAAACTGCTGGGAAGGGGGCAGTGCTCAAGCCTAGATACTGGTATCATAATAGGGTTTAGGGGCTATTGGGGTTATATTGAGGTTATATAGGCATAATGGAAAATACAATGGAAACTACTACTTAGGGTTTAGGGGTAATGTAGACTTGCGATTAATAAGCCCCCTTCCTTTTAACGGCCTGAATATAAGGATCCCTAGTATAGTCCCTATTATAGTCCTTATTATAGTGCCTAGTCCCTGTTGTAGCGCCTGTAATCCCTATTATAGTGCCTAATCCCTATGAAGGCGACGAGGTTTATGGATCAGGGGTCTACATTACAGGCTATGGGCGTGCTGGTCCCCAAAAGCAAGAACAACTGTCATCCATTTAAATACGCGCATCGACTACATTACAGCACTATGCTTGCGGTAATAGCATAACATCATGGGTCGGATTTAACAGCCCCCCGAATACAACCTCCCAATAAACATAATTCTTATATTACTCCCAAGCCTTGCGGTACAAGTCGAAGTGAACACCGAGGCCCATGCAAGGAAGGCCGCACGCTCAGCATGACTATTAGCATCACTATTTTCTACTCTTAGATTAACTATTGGTATTACTATTATTATTACTATTATTATTACTATTATTATTACTATTATTATTGCGATTTTTACTATGATTGTTATTACTATTGCTGTTTATTACTATTGCTTTTACTATTGTTATTACTATTGCTGGAATCGGAGATTCTGTGCGACTAGTTTTTGTAGTGGTTGAAGCACAACTCCATTCTAGAATGCCCACTGGGTCTGCTGGGCCTGCACTGAAATGGAACAACAATTCCTAAACCTTAAACCCTAAACCCTAAACCCATCTCGGAAATTTGCAAGTCTGATGAAGCAAGTCTTTGCCTGGGGGTTCTCTCCAACGCTCGACTCATGATTCCCAAGCTTTTGAGGCCAGCTGTCAGTGCTTTCAAAAGACAGGTCAGGGGTTCTATAGGGCTGCTATAGGGGTTCTATTGGGGTTATATTGGGGTTATATAGGGGGTATATTGGGTTTTTTTAAGGGTTCTATTGGGGCTTATATAGGGGGTAGATTGGGGCTATATATAAGGGGTATATTGGGATTATATAGGGGTTATACTGGCATGGATCAAGAAGTGGCTGATTCCTTGAGGCTGGCCCATCTCACCGACAGCTGGGTCTACCTCTGCATACCGTCACCGCATCTTTGCCTGCGAAGGCCGATTGTGACATGCTGTGCTAGACAGCTGAAGCCCCTTGTTGGCTCCAGATTTGTGGCACCCGCACTCAGTGCAGGGAGCTCGGCAACGAAAAGCAGTAAATTCAGCATCCGGCGTGCGCTGGAGATGCGCACGCGGACGCATGGAAACGCCTTGCGGCGCTTGGTGCGCCGCAGGTAAGAAATGTAGATTAATGTAGGAATGTAGGGAAATGCACGCTCTGCCAGGTCTCTTGCGTGGCAAGCGCCTCTCACAACCCTGCGCTATCCTTGCACTCCATGCATAGGGCAGCTCGACTCTTCTGAATGCTGAAGTCGCTTAACAGCGCTCGCTTGGTGCCTCAGTTGACATCTCGGAGTCGCTGATCTGGCCTTTGCTCTTTTCGGAGGTTGCTGCCGGGCCCATAAACATCCCTCCGTACTCGGACCAGTAGTAGCACGGGCTCAGCAACGCCCAGAACATGACGTAACCGGCATGGACTTTGAATGGCGTCAATGCATCCTGACGATGATAATTACCATGGAACACGTTTAGACAATCTTCATGTCATCACCTAACAATTAAACCCTTGCAAGCGTCCTGGATGG